CCTTCCCCATTTCTGAAGAAGGGTCTAGGCCTGAAACGTCAGCCTTCCTGCTCCTCTAATGCTGCTTGGCCTGCTGTGTTCATCCAGCTCTACACCTTGTTATCTCAGATTCTCCAACATCTGCAGTTCCTACTATCTCTAATGTATTTAGGCAGGTTGATTGAGTGAGCAAGAACACTGTAGATGGAATATTACGTGAATAAGTGTGAGCTTAACCACTTTGGTTGGGGGAACAAAGGTGCAAATTATTTCTTAAATTATGAGAGTTTGGGAGGTGTCCTGTCCAAAGGGACCTTAGTGACTTTTTTCATATGTAATCAAAAGCTAACATATAAGTCCAGCAAGCGATTTGGAAGGCAAACAGTGTATTAGCTTTTATTGCAAGCGGGTTTGAGTACTGGAGCAAAGATGTCTTGCTTCATTTGCATAGAAAACCTGGTGAGACTGCAACTGGAAAATTGAGTGCAGTTCTGCATCCTTCACCTGAGGATGGATACACTTGTTGTAGAGGGAATGCAGCAGAGGCTCATTGCTCAAAGTATGAAGAGAACAATGTTGGTATGATGATTAACATTAATGTGATGGTCAGTTTGTGAGACAGGAGTCCAGACGTGCAACCTCACTTACTTGTTGTGAGTCATAGAGTCATACAGCACAGAAACAGACCCTTTGGTCCAACCAATACATGCTGAACATAATCCCAAACTAAACTAGTCCCACCTACCTGCTCCTGGCCCATAGCTGTCCAAACCTTTCCTATTCATGTACTTATCTAAATGTTTTTTAAAAGTTGTAATTATACCTGCATCCACTACTTCCTAAGGAAATTCATTCCACTCTTGTACAAAAAAAATGCCCCTCATGTCTTTTAAACTTCTGTCCTCTCACCTTAAAAGTGTGCCTTCTGGTCTTAAAATCCCCCGTCCTAGGGGGGAAAAGACAAATACCATCAATCCTATCTGTACCCCTCATGTTTTTATAAAATTCTGTAAGATCACCTCTGACCTCCTACGCTCCGGTGAAAAACGTCCCAGCCGATCCAGCCTTTCTTTATAACTCAAATCTTCCATACCCGGTAACATCCTGGCAAATCTCTTCTGAGCCCTCTCCAGCTTTTTGTCATTGTCTCTCTTTGACCCATATTTCCACTTTGTGCATTCTGTGTTGGGTGCAGAACCATACAAAATTCCTACAATAGTCACAATATGAATTGATTTTCTACGTGCAACTTGCCTACATTGCATTTCCTAATCTCAATATGGTCAACAGGAAGAAATTGCCTCCTGTTTAAAGGCTAGTTTTACAATTTCTTGTCAAGCAGCAGG